AGCGCGCATAAATTTTTAGGTAAAATTTCGGCAAACCCCTCATACTTTGGGCCAGTTATTTAAGAAACCCTCGCCAGCGCTTTGTTGGTTTTCACTGAACATCAAAAAACTTTTACCACATAATTACACTCTGTTAGTAATTTTTTTTTGCTCACATTTGGCAATTTACAAAATAAACTCTTCCTCTCCCTACTTTTCCATAACCTCAAACCTGAACTCAAATTCTTTTCTAATAAAACTAATTTTAAAAAAAAGGATGGAAAATGTTATTTATTTATTTATTTTTCAGAGGTGCATTTTTGTCATTTTAGGGGTTACACGCAAAAGGTTATCTTACGTTTAGTGAAAAAACCAATGTATTAATGGTTTTGAGGAAAACGCCTCAGACTATTGGTGAAATTAATTTACCGTAAGTTTTAGGTATAATCGTTTATTATTGATATAATTTTTCGATTTTTCTATAGAGTGTCCATGGGCACTCTATAAGAGATGAGAGAGATAGAAATGAATAGCTCATGAGCCTCCCTGATTTGCATTAATTTCTGTGCATAATTCATTTCTCTCTATCTCTCTTATCTTTTATAGAGTGCCCATGAGCACTCTATAGAAAAACCGATAATTTTTTTAAAGATAACCTTTTGTATTAATTTCTGTGCATAATTCATGAGGGGATGAGAAAGGATGAGATTAGGGAGAGATTTTAGAGATATTACGAAAATGCTCGTGGTTACGTGATGAGGGTATTCTAATTAGAGATATTAGAAAGCGCACGTGATAGAAAGGGATAGAAACATGATTATTCGAGCCTTTAACTAAGAGGGGGGCCTAAGCAGATTTTCAAAAGTCCAAGGGGTGGAAGGAATTTGCCCTTAAATTTAGGAAATTTCTATGCGATGTTGAAGGTGGGGCGGTTGAGGTTCTGACATTCTCCAACTAAATAAATAAATAAATAAGTAAGCGGAGGTAATATGTGTACATAACAGCTGGTGCTTGCCGATTTTGTCATTTCTTCGCGTGTTGTGTCGTTGTTCTCGAGTTCATGAGATCTTGGGCTTAATTGTAGGTTTGGAACATAATTATAAGCTATTTTCTCAAGCCTCAAGTCTGATTGAACCTTCAAAGCCTTTTATTCAATGCGTTTTTCTTGTTCATATAACGGAAATACCCTCGTTTTTGTTTTGATTTGTGCTGTTTTATTCACGCATAAATCTTTGTGATTGGTTTCGTCTTTTACTTCTAAACAAACCGAAGTAAACAATGTGACGGGACTTGAAACGAGAGAGATCGAATGACAGAAACAGGACTTGAAACGAGAGAACGAGGAAAGAATAGTCGGGTCGGGATTTTGATAAATGACAAGGGGTAGGCTGGAATTTGAAATCAGTTAGTTTTGGGCTTTCAAATTCCTCCTTGTTAAATCAATTGATTTAAAATCTTGGTACAAAACAGAACCCAAACTAAATATTTGGATTTCAAATATCCTGAATTTGAAATCCAGACCCAAATCACAGTTCCCAAACACAGCCTTACGTTATTTTGGATTTTTTTTCCTTGAGAAATGCTGCGAGTACTCTGTTTGTGTTCAAATTTGCTGTGTGTCTTGAAGCATATCCGAATATCTTCTACGCTTTCCAATTTCTTGGTCCGAAAGTGCACTCTCAGACGTATGACAAATCTTCAATGTTAGGTATATAACCTCCTAAAATCGTTAGTTTGTATCAAATGTTCGCCAAAATAACTGAAATATTCTTTCCGTTGTATGTGTGACAAAATACTACGCCCGTGCTAGCATGGATTATTTTGATTTTTTTAGTTTATATATGTTGGTTAATACGTTATTTGAATACGTTAAGCCGCCCTAGTGTAATAAGAGAGATGATTAGGTTACATTTCTTATAGACTGTAACTTACAGGTCATCTATAGTAAATACTTATGAAGGAAGAGATAATGAGTACCTCTTTCTGCTATTTTTTTTATCAGCTAAAATAGATAGTTTGAATGGTAGGGTTTTTCTTGGATAAATTGCAATTCTTAAATTCGAAATTCAGAATTAGATAGCTTAACCATTAATCTCCTTTACAAATCTAAAAAAACAATTTTTGAGTTTAAAAACTAAAAAATATTGGCACTTCAATGTCTGAAAATATCAATCAATGCTCAGGTTTGATCCACCTGAGATTGAAATACAAATGAGATTACTTTCCTCTAATCCAAAAGATAGATAGTAGGAAGTTCCATCATCACCTATAATTAAGAACATACTACTTCCCATGAACA